TTCTGTTTTATTTTCAATTTTGAGTTGTTTAATTTTCTACTCTTTAATGTTCACATTATGTGCAATGCCTTGTTTACAAAAGTCCCAAATTGGGATCAATAAAGTAAATCTTACCCTATGGTGTCTTATCACGCTTTATTAATGATGCATTTATAGGGGCTGCGGGATTATCAGAACTAAAATGGACTGTTTTAAAGCAACCGAGAGTTGGGAAAAATGTGGATGTAAAGATAGAAATTGAATCCATCACACACATGAAAAGCTGAAAAACCGGCACGCTGCTAACTCACTGCTTTGTCTCTGAAACACTGTTTTCATTGTTTCAATCTAACGAATAATAGTTGGACTAAATGCATATGCTCGGATAGCTTGTGTAAAACCTGATCAAATATGTCACACAGCATACATTTTCTTTGACTTAACGTAAACAATGTTATGCTGTTTATTTTTACCACGCCAAGCTACTTACATTCTACATGACAAAAAAAAAACATTCCTCATTGATGAATTGAAAACAGCATATGGCATCTGTTTGAGAATACAAATGCTTTAAAATCAAAGTGCTATACTTAGCTGTCAGTCATTTGTTGAAGCTTATGAGCTAAGTCTGTGAAAACATTCCTCGCAGACTGCTTTGGTTTTCTGCACAGTTTACCTATAATACACACACACACACACACACACACACACACACACTTCAGTATGAAACTTAAAAGAACAACATTTAGATTGTATTACTGGTTTGATGTTTCCGAACAGCATTCCTTACTCTTTCTAAGAATGTATACATGTGAAGAAAACACAGTAGCCTTTAAAAAGATGGAGTTAGGAAGAACATAAGGAGCTGTAACCATTTGGCAAAACAAATAACCTGCAGGTAAGTGTTTCCAATATGTGTGTGTGCAATGGCTTCAACACCATTTCAGATGCAGAAGTCTGTGGGGCTGCTTTTCACAGTGCTCTGTCCTCCCAGCGTATTTTACACGTTCCCCATCCTGCAGAGAGACCACAACACTTCCCTCAGCCGGAGCAAACAGGCAGGACCCAATCACAGGACATTTTAAAACTCAAATGCTGTGAAGTCACATTTCTGACAATTAAACAGACCCAACGAGGACAAAGAAAAGCACGAGTGACTGTCAAGCATACTACAGGAAAGCTAATTAAACTCTCTAGTCTACTAAAGGCTCACAAACTGCCAAATCAATTGACCAAATTTGAAATACTATAATCAAATGTTTTTCAAGGATGTTATCTCAGTCGGTTTAATTGCAAGTCTCCACAAAATACAGGCTAAATGTTGAAGTCAGTGGCCTATGACATACATCCTGCTCTGTATCGTGGAAAAGTGGTGCACGGTTCTTCAGTCTGTTAAATGTTAATTATATATTTTATGTGGCATGAGAAAACTGTTAAGCACAGTACAGCTAATTTAGTCAAACAGTTCGAGGCCTGTAGCAAAAACACTGATGCAGGAGATTTAGAAATCTTCATCCAAATACTAACTTCATACACAATTTGAGCAACACATCTATAATACTTCATACTGCCATAATAATATAATACTTTAAATGATAAGTATTCTGAGTGCTATATGTAGTTTGAGGTCACACATGGGTTTGAAGCAGCGTCACAGTCGGACTCAGAGAAAGCTCTTCACTGACACACAGAGGAACACATGATTCGCTCAGACTTTGACTTAATCAAGTGCAAGTTGTAAAAATCATTTGCCATTTTCAGTAGCTATATGGGCCCCTCCACAACCGCTGCCCCCTCCCTCGCCTCCCTTTGTTCTCTCCAGCTCTAATAGGTTTTCCCCTGCCACACACAATTCACTTTTTTCCCTTTTCCCCAGCTCCCCATCCCTCCCACTACCCCTTTTAGTGCAGTGCCCAGTGTCGACTGGAGCATTTGAGCAATTTGAAATTAAAGCAAACAATGGGCAGGCACTCCCAGGGACCTCTCGCTCACCATATTACATGGAGGACGCTCGTGTGCTCTTGCGCATTATTGGCAAGTCATTACGTTTCTCTGGAAACCAAGAGCGGGAGCTCGCTCTGAGGAATCGGTGATGCAAGCAGCAGCTGAGTGCTTGGAATAGCGTGTGTGTGTGTTGTGGAGCATCCTTGGCAACAGCATGGGGATGCTGTCAAAACAAAACTGTATATTGACATGTCTGACAAGCAGCCTGATATAGGATTCTCAAAGCCCATTTAGTTAAAGGTATTCATTATTACAATAAAAAGCATTTCAAATTCTGTCTCAAGTCTCCCAGCTGTACGCTCAGCAGGCCCACACCATCTTATTCTTAATCCTTATTTCTCAATAGCATGGTGCACCAGTTATAAATGTCATGTTTTTCACCCAGTTACATTATACGTTACCTGTTAGACGCTTTTATCCAAAGCGACGTACATTCTCAATACTGTGGGCAATCCCCACAGGAGCAATTTGGGGTGAAGTGTCTCAGGGACACAACGACATGCTGACTGCAGTGGGGTTTGAACCTGTGCCCCCTGATCCCAACACCAACGCACCAGACCACTGCGCCACAGCCTCCCAGTTATTGTCATCTATTAGTTAGCAAGATAAGTGACTAGGATGTATGTGTAGAAATATACAAACATGACATCTGTAAAACATCCTGCATTACAGCTTGAACGTTAATTATTAAGCCTCCATCATAACTACAAATATCCACGAGTAATATAGTGACGTGACAGTTATCAAAGTAGAACCTTACAGAAACAACTTAAGTAAAGTAAATCATGAATAAAACAAAATTCAAACAGAAATAGAAAACATTACATTGCATTTAGCTGACGCTTTTATCCAAAGCGACTTACAATAAGTACATTCGACCAGGAAGACACAACCTTGAAGAAAACAGAATCATATAAGTACATCAGGTTTCATAGAGCCAAACATTTCAAGTGCTACTCAACTGGCTTTAGATAAGCCAGTCCTTTATTAGTATAAAAGTGCTTCGTTAATAGTTCTATCGCTCGAAGTGGAGTCGAAAGAGATGAGTTTTCAGTTTGCGCCGGAAGATGTGCAAGCTATCTGCTGTCCTGATGTCAATGGGGAGCTCATTCCACCAGCAGCTTTCCAGAATATAGTGCCATCACTCGATATGTTGGTTTATTAATGTTTTCTGTGTGAACGCACCAGGTCTGCAACTACTAATGAAACCAATTATTTTCTTTATTGATTATTCTGCCAACCAATTAATCTATTAATGATTTAGTCAATACAATCAGTCAATTGCAGTGAGGCCAACCTTATTTATTTAAAATGTTATATACAGTTAAATATGCGTTAAATGTTTTCCGACCACAAGTTACATGTCTTTACAAATATAATAAAAATAAATGTAAAATAGTGAAGCAGGGAATTCTAATAGTTGACAACAAATATTTGGCTTATTTTGAAAACCTTTTGTTTATATAATTATAAAAGTAATGTTTTGTTTAAATCATTGCCATGTTGCATAAGATTAGTTTGACAAGCAGTAATAAAACAATAATTGTAAGTATGCATGTGTACAAACATAAATGACATCTAGAAAATATTCTGCATTGCAACTTGAAAATTATTATAAAGCCCAACACATAATTAAACATGTTCACAGTCCTACTATTGAGAAGTAGTGTGACAGCAATCCAAAAGCATTCTTACAGAGATACGCAAGTACAGTTTTCAAAATGTTACTTAAACAGTAAGAGTAAACTGTGCAGCAGAATTAGTCAAAAAACACAATACTTTCTTTATAATAGTAAAACAGACAGGAAAACATTTTACGTCACAATGAATATTTGTACTTTAAAAATACTTTGGTAATATAGCTAACATACTTCTAGTTATATTTTGAATTCAAGCCCTTTAGCTTAGGTGTAATGCAGTATTTCCACTGTAGGATACTGGTAGAGACTTGTATACTTCCCCTTTGTTTACACCCTGCTTTTAATTGTTTTCCATCAGTAAAACCCCACCTGCATGTAATTGAACTTTGTTAAATCATGCCACTCAATAATAGTAATTATTAAAAAAACCCATCATAGAGACGGGCCTTATGGTTAAACACTGACAGGGAACATTTTACTTCACAATGGATACTTTTCTTTGAACACTTTCAGGACATTTTGCTCATAAAGCAACAACTTTACTCCAGGGGGTGATTCCACGGTTAGGGCCTGAATATAGTTCTGTCAGTAACCCACATAGGTGCATGACAAAGTAATCAGATCCCTTTCTTAAGTAGAAGTATTATGGTATTAAAATACTCTATTACAAGTAAAAAGTGCTGAATAAAAATGACTTAAGTTAAAGTGCAAAAGTATTAGCAGCAACAACAAGTAATTAAAATGTTCAATATTTTATTTCTGCACAGTGGACCTCAAAAGCAAAAGTACTGGTTATGTATATTGTCTCTTTTCAGTCACAGTTTTAAACAATATTTGGTTATTCTGTGTTTTAAAGCTAACAAATACAGTGCATATCATATACATTTTAATGTTTTACTTTGTAGATGTGGAGCAACTTCTATAGACTTCCAAAAATACACTGTTGATAAGCAGTAAAGAAGTGTGTCGTATCTTATAAGCTTGTGTTTTTATATGTAAAAAGTAGCTAGTAAGTGTATAATACCTGTAGGAGTAAAAAGTATATAATTGGCCACTGTATAAATGTATAAAGTAGCCAAACAATGTAAATACTCAAGTAAAGTACTATTGTGTCAAAATATTACTTAAGTAAAGTACTTGAGTTAACCCGACAGATTGTAGTACCTACCTGCATGTTGTGTAACAGTGTTGTTGACAGTGAGTCGAGCAAAGGAAAGTATTTTTGCCACAAAAACCTTCAAACATTTTCGACCATGTGGAGCCTAAACGGATTTCAGCGGGCCAATCACATCGGTGTTTTACTTCCGGTGACAGAGCACGCCGTGCGTCATAACGCACATCCGGTTCTCTACGGAGTCCCCCCCCCCCCCCCCCCCCTCTTCTCCTCACCGCCGCACCGTGAAGTGGATGTTTTGGTGAGAAAATACGGTGTCAAAAAAGGGACGTAAATACCTTAAAAACATGACATTTCGACCGAGAGGAACCTAGAGCTACGTAGGAAAGTAGGGCGTCTCCGGCGGAGGTTTTTTCTGATTAGCTGTGCACCGTATTCCTCCGCATGTCCGCTTTCTTCGTAGATGGTCTCCGGCGAGCGTTGTCTGGCGGCGGACGACGAGTGGTCGACGAATAATATGAAGGAGATGATCGGCGGCTGCTGTGTTTGCTCTGACGAGCGAGGCTGGGCGGAAAACCCTCTGGTGTACTGCGACGGACACGGCTGCAACGTGGCCGTGCATCAAGGTAAAGCTGCGTATTTCACCCAGGCTACGAGTTAGCACTTAGCTCACAGGCTAGTTAGCGTTATTGCAAGGTTATGGAGCCTCCTCCGCCTGCCCTCACTAGGCCAGGCTGAGGTCAGGCTCTCCACTGTTTTGGCTCTTAACTTTGGCTTTTAATCCGCTGCACACGGTCTTTGACAGCTGCTTTATGAGAGCTATTCTGGTTGCTCTCATTCCCTCTGTGTTCCTGTCAGGCGGGATCCAGAGGAGGGATACACTCCTCCTGTCAGAAGTGTGAAAGTGCGCGCAAAACTCCCACCAAGAGCTTTATAGATATGTGATACGGCCACTTACTACTAAAGAAATAGTGCAAACTGCATTATGGAAAGAACCCCATATATTAAAGCCATCAATTGCATGGTTTCTAGCTGCTACATGTTAGCATGTATTATTGTTATGATATGCATGCATCTATTTACATTGCAGTGACGTTTAGGTAGAGACGCCATTTCCCAGTGTACCTGTGCATACATAAGGATTACACACAAGTTGCAAACAACAAGGTGCATACACAGTTAGAAGACAAGGTGCAAAGATATGGTGGCAGTAATAGAACAATCTAAATACAGGCAATGTAAACAAATACAGTGCTGCCAAGACACTGTTCACCCAAGATGACTCACGATGACGTCCACTGTTTACAAGTGTAACAGCTGGCCATGTGTCCACTTGGCAAAGGCAGGGGGACAACTATTTGAAATGTCAGCAACTGCATGAACACACACAGATGCATTTCAATGATGAGCACTTGTTAGGAAAACACACTTTCTTTAGTTTTAATTTGATATTGCATGGACTGCAAAATAGGTCCAGAGAGAGTAGGTCTGCTAACTTGCTTTTTTTTAACCACCTGGTCCACTTTGCTGGTCTTAAGCATGCCTTATTATTATGTTGTTATTATACAGTGCCACCTTTCATAGCCTAGTATTTAATGACTGCATCATATTATTCCAGCCTCAGCAGGAAAGTTATTTTTAGTGGATTGTTCTACTTTTAGCATCAAGCAAAGCCTGTCCCAGATGAAAGTTGAGTTGTGAAGCTTCAGTACTGCCAAGTGTCTCTAAATATAGACGTCAGTGATTGTAGTTTGGAGTGTTTTGGATATCGGATCACATATTAAACGCTCGCATCAAGACAAAATGTGGTCTTTTTAAAATTCTGTGGTTTAGTGATGAACTAGGCAGCACAGTCTATTCTTTATTTACGGCATGCTAGTTTGCAGTTGTAGTATATTATTACTTTAATATTGTGAACCGCAGTCAGGACAGTGTTTTAAATGAGAGTTTGCTAGATATTATTACTAGAAACATGCAACATTGTCCAATGAGTGTCTTTTTTCAGATTGCTGGCATTTATTTAATCCCTTAAAGAGATGTACACTGAACAAAAATATAAACGCAACACTTTTGTTTTTGCTCGCATGTTTCATGAGATGAACTCAAAGATCTAAAACATTTTCTATAAACACAAAATAACCATTTCTCTCAAATATTGTTCACAAATCTGAACAGATCTGTGATAGTGAGCACTTCTCCTTTGCCGAGATAATCCATCCCACCTCACAGGTGTGGCATATCAAGATGCTGATTAGACAGCATGATTATTGCACAGGTGTGCCTTAGGCTGGCCACAAGAAAAGGCCACTCTGAAATGTTCATTTTTATCAGACAGCACAATGCCACAGATGCCGCAGGTTTTGAGGGAGCGTGCAATTGGCATGCTGACAGCAGGAATGTCCACCAGAGCTGTTGCCCGTGAATTGAATGTTCATTTCTCTACCATAAGCCGTCTCCAAAGGCGTTTCAGAGAATGTGGCAGTACATCCAACCGGCCTCACAACCGCAGACCACGTGTAACCACACCAGCCCAGGACCTCCACATCCAGCATGTTCACCTCCAAGATCGTCTGAGACCAGCCACTCGGACAGCTGCTGCAACAATCGCTTTGCATAACCAAAGAATTTCTGCTGTCAGAAACCGTCTCAGGGAAGCTCATCTGCATGCTCGTCGTCCTCATCGGGGTCTCGACCTGACTCCGGTTCGTCGTCGTAACCGACTTGAGTGGGCAAATGCTCACATTAGATAGCGTCTGGCACGTTGGAGAGGTGTTCTCTTCCCGGATGAATCCCGGTTTTCACTGTTCAGGGCAGATGGCAGACAGCGTGTGTGGCGTCGTGTGGGTGAGCGGTTTTCTGATGTCAAAGTTGTGAATCGAGTGGCCCATGGTGGTGGTGGGGTTATGGTATGGGCAGGCGTATGTTATGGACGACGAACACAGGTGCATTTGATTGATGGCATTGTGAATGCACAGAGATACCGTGATGAGATCCTGAGGCCCATTGTTGTGCCATTCATCCACGACCATCACCTCATGTTGCAGCATGATAATGCACGGCCCCATGTTGCCAGGATCTGTACACAATTCCTGGAGGCTGAAAACATCCCAGTTCTTGCATGGCCAGCATACTCACCGGACATGTCACCCATTGAGCATGTTTGGGATGCTCTGGATCGGCGTATACGACGGCGTGTTCCAGTTCCTGCCAATATCCAGCAGCTTCGCACGGCCATTGAAGAGGAGTGGACCAATCACAGGCCACGATCAACAACCTGATCAACTCTATGCCAAGGAGATGTGTTGCACTGCGTGAGGCAAATGGTGGTCACACCAGATACTGACTGGTTTTCGGATCCCCACAGGAGTAATTTGGGGTGAAGTGCCCAGAGACACAACGACATGCTGACTGCAGTGGGGTTTGAACCTGTGCTCCCCTGATCCCAACACCAACGCTCCAGCCACTGCGCCACACGCCTCCGCATTACCACTGTGTAGATGTATTCTGTGGTGTAAAATGTCCTCTTTTGTTGTGCTCGTGAGGGCTTACTCTAACGCCCCTCCCTCCCTCTCTCTCTGTGTTCAGCATGCTATGGCATCGTGCAGGTGCCCACCGGTCCTTGGTTCTGCAGAAAGTGTGAATCTCAGGAGAGAGCTGCACGAGTGGTGAGTCACACTATCACACAATCCATCTACCCATTTATCATTTGTGCAAAGATGTCCGACCTTATAAGCCTTCGTTTTTTTAGGAACAGGGAACAATACGATGATATTTTATCGTCAGATCAAGCCTAGATGTTTTCTTGCATCATAACGGCGTAATTTACGACATAAAATAGGACAAATCGTAAGACAAAAAACAAGGGAAGAGTCAATTATTATGACATTACAATCACTATAGACAATGTTTTCATGATAATCGTTCATTTGTTCTGGGATTAAACTCCATATTTTATCAAGTCACACATCCATCTACCCATTTATCATGTGTGCAAAGATGTCTGACCTTATAAGCCGTTGTTTTTTAGGAACAGGGAAAGATACAATTATATTTTATCATCATATCAAGCCTGGATTTTTTTCTTGCTTCATCAACAAGGACACACATTAAGACAAGAACAAGGGCCCAGTCATTTATGATGACATTACAATCACCGTGTTTTCATGATAATCGTTCATTTGTTCTGGGATTAAACTTCATATTTTATTTTAGGATTGACTGCTGCATTAAAGGGTTCTTCGGTCTAACCTTCTAACATCCTGGGACCCTGTGTATATACGATGTGATGGTAACAAATCTACGAAGTGCCTAACAAGGGCTTGCTTTAAATAACATCATTTATTACAGAGCATTTGTGGCATACTGAGCTAATATTGCTTGTGTTTTTTGAGCCCACAATGGTTATCATGTCATCTTCAATCTCAATACAGCATGGCAGTATCAAAGGCATTTTAGAGACATGACATTAGACAGACTAGCCTCTGTTTGTGAAGCGACATCCTGTAACGGCAGCATTTTCTGAGTCACATGACATCTCCCGCTGTCCTTTGACCCGATCACACACTCTGTATTCTGCTCAGGCTACCATCATGTTTCCCCAAATCACATTTAATCCTGATTTGAAAGCTCTATAAAAGATTATCTCAAATGCTGCTCGAGTGAGTCCAGTAAACCAACTCCAAATACAATTTGTCGGGGTCTGTGGATTATCGTGAGTGACCGGGACATTGATGTTGAGTTCTTAAAATGTATATTGTTGGCGCTTTCGAACAATGTCATCCAGTTCCATTATATTAAGACATCTCAAACATTCAACAACTTAAAAATGGCACAACAGCAGGACAACTATGTGTTCTTGATTTATCTGGTCCGAGTATATGACCCACTCTCCTCAGACGTCTAAATCATGCAGGACACAACTGATTGGCTCTCTGTATTTTACGTCTTCTTCGCTGGTGCTAAAGCCACACACTGGTATGGCGTGCTGAGTTTAAACTTAATATGACCTCGGCAAACTTCTAAGGACCTGTCGAGATTTTGTCAGACAAGATTTACTTGCGTAGTTGTTGATACAGGTGCTAGGAATGATCTGCAGAATTGCCGTATTCATGTGTGCTCAGGGCAAAGTTTCCCTCGAAGAAATGTAGCAGGATAACTAGGTTTGTCCTCCAGCCTCTCAACTGATGCGGGAAACCAGGTTTCTCATTCACACGTTAAGGGGAGAACTACAACGATAAGCAGGTCACGTAAGAACATGAGGAGCCTTTGAGCGGTGCGGAGCAGTGTCAAACATCTTTACATCCAAGCAGATACGTCAATTATGAAACGTCCAAACTTTATTTTACTTGAAGGAAGCATCATTCCAGGCGGTGAAACGTAAAGAGGTGAAATGTTTCTATATTTTTAAGAACATATTAAAAAGAGCAGGTCATTGCATAGAAAGCGGATACCTATAACTGGGGAATGAGGGCTGACTTGTATCATTTGAATAGTTTTAAAAATGTAAGAAATACATGAAAGTATATATTTTCTAAAGTCCGAAAGAGTCGAGTTCAAGCATCTTATGAATTTAGACTTAAATTAGGACATTATTAAACACTTTGTTACGCACAACCCTAAGATTCCTATCTTCACGCGAGTTGCAGGGATAGGAAGGATAAGGACATGGCAAAAAGCTGCTCAATGAACATTTTATCTCCACTTCATAATCGCTTGAAGCCAAGATAGTTATTGAAAATAACATGTGATCATTCTCTCAAAGAAGAGACATGTAAGTGTCTCTGCACACACACTGTGTTCTTTGTAACATGTTGTTTTCGACTTGAGATGAGCAACACACACACACACACACACACACACACACACACACACACACACACACACACACACACACACACACACACACACACACACACACACACACACACACACATCCTGAGAAGGCCACTGGTCACTTTGTATTTAACTTTATTTTTCTGTGTGTTTTTGGTTCTTCTGTCCCCAAAGAGATGTGAGCTGTGTCCCCATAAAGACGGAGCCCTCAAGAGGACAGACAACGGAGGTAGAATCCCTCTCAGCTACACACACTCACACACACACACACACACTCACACACACACACATCTGTGGCGAGCCTCTTGTGTAGTTTTGTCATTAATTGCATGTCACCGGCAAGTTTAAGGGGTGTGAGCGTGCTGAGAGAGTTATGTTGGTGTGTGTGTGTGTGTGTGTGTGTGTGTGTGTGTGTGTGTGTGTGTGTGTGTGTGTGTGTGTGTGTGTGTGTGTGTGTGTGTGTGTGTGTGTGTGGTGTGTGTGTGTGTGTGTGTGTGTGTGTGTGTGTGTGTGTGTGTGTGTGTGTGTGTGTGTGTGTGTGTGTGGTGTGTGTGTGTGGTGTGTGTGTGTGTGTGTGTGTGTGTGTGTGTGTGTGTGTGTGTGTGTGTGTGTGTGTGTGGTGTGTGTGTGTGTGTGTGTGTGTGTGTGTGTGTGTGTGTGTGTGTGTGTGTGTGTGTGTGTGTGTGTGTGTGTGTGTGTGTGTGTGTGTGTGTGTGTGTGTGTGTGTGGGGGTTCGGGTTCATTGGGAGGTCAGCTCGGTGGAGACTGTAAATAGTGTGTGTGTGTGTCAGAGCGAGAGGCACAGCTGTGGGATTGTGTCCAGGCCTGCAGGGAGGCATCAGGACACTAACACACACCGTTTTACTACTTTCTCCTTCATTTTACCCTTCCCGTGACCCCTCCCTCCCTCTCTCTTTTTTCTCTCACCGTCTCTTCTCCTCCACCCTCCATTTCTCCGCCCTTGTCAGTTCCTCTTCACTTGTTGATCTGTGTGGTACTTGCTGTTATTTCAGGTGGGACAGTAATAAAGCAGAGCAGCGAGTATCTGATAGCCGGCAGTGAAGACAGAAATAAACTTTACAGCTGCTTTTCACATCCTCTTTTTGGTCTTCTTTATCTGTAAATGTTGGGTATCTTTTTATAGCATCTGTTTTAGAGTACAGTTGTTCCACTAAAAGGTTAAAACATCGTCTGTGGCATACATTCATTTAGGGGTTAAAATTAAAATAAGTAGATTTAGCGACAAGTTCACTTCCTACAAATCAGTTTAAAGAGATCTGGATACCATGTGTTTTATTATGTTGCTGTGGTTTCACTGTACAGGCACTTTTTATAAGTACGCGCTACAGTAAGAACAACATGGATGAAGTTCGTTATTTTTTTTATACCTGCTGCTCGTGTCAGGTTTTACAGCAAAAGATCAGAAAATACAGCATTTCCCCCAGATTTATTACAGTATAAAAGCTGAACGCATTTGACTCCGATAACTTGTCCGGGTAGCGTCTGTTTGTTAGGGGATGCTTTGTTGGGTCTTTGGGGGATAAAAGTGAACGCTTGGTTTGAAGAGGAAGGCTGTGCCAGTTTTATAGTCCTGTTTTATAGGCCTCTTCCAGATTCTTGGAGGGACTTCAAAACAACAACATGCCCCCATTTCACACCCGCTGCCTCCCCTGTCCCGCCCTCTGCCCCCCCCCCAGGTCAAAGGCAGGTCAGGGGTTCAACTGTAAGTTTAAGCCTGTTTTTGTTTCCGCTATGGGGAAAAACAGACACCTCCAGGAGACTCCCACCTCCATTTGACCTCGCGCTGACCGCCTTCTGCTCCTCCTCAGCTCCTCGTCAATTCTGCTGCCACTCCACCACTCTGTCACCCCGCCGCCCCCAGTTTGTCTTCACTGACAGGCAGCTGTGTGTGTTAGGGCTCCATAAACGGCTACTCGGGTAGATTAACTACCAAGTTGCAAATTAAAAACTTTTACGATTCAGCATTGAACTCAAGTTTAATTTATGTTTAATATGTTAAATGTAACCAGAAGTGACATCGGGGCCAGACCACATGAGGATTTTAGATTGGTTCTCAGGGTTTTGGCCAAAGCAGTTTTATCCACTGTTGCAAGGTACTCAACGAATGACTGTAGGGCTGCAGTAACTTAAATAATTTATTGATCTGACGATTGATTTCTTGCTTCATCAATCCTCGTTATGTCTATAACATGTCAAATCAGAGCGGCTGGGGTTTGTTTTACCTTGCTGATTCTCCAGGTTATCAGTCAATCAACAAACATACATTTGTACATTTCTTATTCCTTTTTAAAGACAGCTTATGCATCTTATAAATATTGCCATAAACTCCCTTTTTCTGCCATATATACAAAGGTTGATGGTTGTTTTCTGTGTGTCTTTGCAGGCTGGGCCCATGTAGTTTGTGCGCTTTATATACCGGAAGTAGAATTTGCGAATGTTTCGACGATGGAGCCGATAGTACTCCAGTCAGTGCCACATGATCGTTATAACAAGGTAAAGAAATCATTCATTTAGTAACACAATTGCATGTAAAGTAAGTTTTTGAATTACATTGTTTTTCTCTGTGTTTGTTTGTAGACATGTTATATTTGCGAGGACCAGGGCAGAGAGAGTAAAGCAGCCACTGGAGCCTGTATGACCTGCAACAAACATGGCTGCAGGCAGGCCTTCCACGTCACATGGTGAGACTCGTTCACATCCCATAATCCTCACTGCACAAAGAGAGAGATTGTGGAGCGCTCCAGTGGATAGGATGCATGGCACAAATGCTGCATGTCACGCACCCTCTTTCTCTGTCAGATCGCCCTTCCCTCTCTACTGATACATCAATGAAATGCCCATAAAATAAAAAGTGAGAGATTTATGTTACAAATAATGTAATTTACTCTCTGCCACAGTGCCCAGTTTGCGGGGTTGTTGTGTGAGGAGCAAGGATCGGACGCAGACAATGTGAAGTACTGTGGATACTGCAAATACCACCACAGCAAATTGGTAAGTGACCTCTCATATCTTCTCATATGTCTTTCGATACTCTAAACTTCAAATTCAGATATGCATGAGTGTGTCTTAGTGGTCTATTAACAATCCGAATGACGATGTGTGTTCCATTAACTATAAGAACAGATGATATATAGACACGATGCACACATACTGGTTTACCTGTTACACAGTGAGAAACACCTCTTCATATTGTGAGTTTATCTCTGAGAGATAAACCACCTGTCCTTACCCCTCCATCTAGTCCTCCTCCCTTCCTAATGCATCTAATCTCTCTCACCGTGGCCCATATTCCCCTCCACTCCCCTGTGTATTTGCACTAAGCCCACAGTGGGCACAGCGGGTTTGGTTTGCAGGTGCTTTAAGGTTTTAACTGTAAGGTCAAACAAGTCTAATCAGGCTTCATCCTTATTTATGGGTTTTAAACACTCATTTATTTCTTACGGTTTCCTTTCCAACAGCAGCTAGCTCTTGTTTTTATGGTCAACACTGTTGATTTGAATCATAATGTGCAGTGAGGTGCTTTCAGAGAAGCTTTTCGGCACCACTTTACAATAAGACTACCCTTATAAAGGGTTTACGAATAGTTTGTAATTAATTAATTAGGTTGTGAACACTTTATAAATCCTTAATAAGCTTTTATAAGACACGAGATAAACAGGGCAACTGTGACCGGTTGCTTGCCAAATAGTGAGCCCACATTTATCTGTTCTGCTAAGCCTTATTAGAAACGGTAGTAACTCATTAATAAATGGGAATGTGTCTTACACTTTACAACAAGGCTCCCTTTTGGCAACTATACATGTTAATAACTCAATAAATGGTCATAAAGAGATGCCAAGAAATATCAAGATTGATGGGGGGAATCAACTCAGTGAGCAACAGATACCAAGGATGCTGGCTGATGAAGAAGACGAAGTAAGCTAAGTAGCCAATATAAGGTTAGTCATCTTGCCAAATAGTGAGCCCACATGTATCTGTACTGCTAAGCCTTATATTGGCTACCTAGCTTACTTCGTCTTCTTCATCAGCCAGCATCCTTGGTATCTGTTGCTCACTGAGTTGATTCTCGCCAAGTAGCCAAGATAAGGCTTAGTCATCTTGCCAAATAGTGAGCCTGAGTTGATGTATGAAAACTGTTAGAACTGGTTTATAAATGCTTCTTAATGATTAATAAAGTGTTTACTAACCCTTTATGAATCCTTTATGAATCATTTATAAGGGTAGTCTTATTGTAAAGTGGTACCAGCTTTTCCTTCTGTTTCTGGGCAGTGTAGGTATACACACAGTGATGAATATGATGTAAAAGGCCATAAAGGTTGACCAAAAGAAGATATAAGTCGGTCTCTTGTGCCTGCGCTTCAGCTTTCAGTCCTTTAAGGCAGATCCTTTGTCCATGATTGCTACCTTATCTTTTTGTTGTCTGTTTTTGCTACTCTGCCTATGCAACCAGCTGAATGCAAACCTGACGCTGGATAGCCGGCCCTTTTGTCAAGCAGAATTCAATCAGATATGAGAAGAATGAAAAAAAGATAGGCATATCAACGCACATGCAACCACTGTGTATGCAGAGGAAATGTGTTTTCACTACACGCACACACTGAGACGTCCTGTTGTGTCTTTAGATTCTGTTCCGCCTCTCAGGTAGCTAACCTATTGCAAGGTATACACATGTTGGGGGGAGACGCAGATATGAAAAACAGCAGCGTGACTTAACTATTATGATTAGTGGAACAGAGGTACAGGCTTTACAAACGCAGAGGACATTTTTGCAATGTTAAAAAGCGCTGATGGAAAGACTCGTGCTGCTTTATTGATCGTGTATGAATGGCTTTGGACGCCGGGGCATAATGTCATTAAGCTGGGATTGTATGGATGACAGAAATGCACGAGACGGAATCAATGACGAGGAAAGCAACGTTGTTAGCAGAGAGGGGGATTCATAAAATACCCCTTGATGGATGTTTACGGCATGTTAGCAACATATGGTATTTGACTGGACTCCGTCTGTAGCCAAACTTAGATTACCCTCGTTTGTTGATTTCATCACGACTGTGACTCATTTCGAATGGATCTGGTCCTTCCTACATCCAGGACATGGTTAAACCGTACACCCCAGCGCGTGCACTCCGCTCTGCATCAGCCAAACAGCTCGTTGCGCCCTCGCTGCGAAGGGGACCCAAGTTCCCATCGGCGAAAACACGTGGGTTTGCTATCCTGGCTCCAAGATGGTGGAATGAGCTCCCCATTGACATCAGGACGGCAGATAGCTTGCACATCTTCCGGCGCAAACTGAAAACTCATCTCTTTCGACTCCACTTCGAGCGATAGAACTATTAACGAAGCACTTTTATACCAATAAAGGACTGGCTTACCTAAAGCCAGTTGAGTAGCACTTGAAATGTTTGGCTCTATGAAACCTGATGTACTTTATGATTCTGTTTTCTTCAAGGTTGTGTCTTCCTGGTCGAATGTACTTATTGTAAGTCGCTTTGGACAAAAGCGTCAGCTAAATGCAATGTAATGTAATTTCCCCTTTTCCTCAAGGACTGTATAGGCAACTACATTTGGTTTCTTCAGTGTCAGTGATTGGTAAAGAGTGTTGCATAACTTTGTGTCTTAAGATGTTTCACACAAGAAGTGACTAATATGTATCAGTAAAAACATGTAGTGCAGTAAGTAGGGACGATAATCGCGTTATGCGCAATATTGACATCGCAGGACGTGGGATATTAAGTAGGCAAAGGAACTCAACACACGTCATGTTATAATTATTTTGCTGCTTGCTACAAAAGGAAAACTTGCGCGGCTCTCGTGTCTCTCGTGCGGAGTGAGTGACATTGCTCTGTCAGCAAACCACCAATCACAATCATTCTTGATCAGATCACAGCAGGATAACCGAGCTCAGCTTGTTGCTCTGATAACTTAAGATCCAGAAGTCCGTGGCTAAAATCCTTCATCCGGTTAAATATTGTTAAAAAAATACCAACTGTATCGCATTAAAATTCAAGAAAGATGGTTTGCAGACAAAAAAACTTGTCTTTTCTTCAATTGCTGTATTTTTTCATATCGCAATATATATCGCAGGAGAAGAAAATATCACTGTCAGTTTTTTCCAATATCGTGCAGCCCTAGCAGTAAGTTAAATTCATCTAATTGAAAGTGTAAGAATGCCTATCCCTGAACAAGGTGCAGAGAAAACACACCTTACTATAAAGCAAGATTAGGTGATACTGACAATTAAGCTCCTTTTAATTTTGTAGACCTTTTTAAGAACAGTAAATGATGAACTCTACTGCATGTAGATCCACATTGTGGTTATAAAAGGGAAGATACTACCATGTGACTCAGACGCTGAGCTGTATCTGATGTCCCAGGGTGCACCGGGTTTCCTCGGAAAGTCAGTTTTACATGAAATGCAAAGAGGAACTCTGGTCATGGACCTGTACTTCTGAACAGAGGCTGGGTAAACACAAGCCTTGATCTGTGCCTGGAGGTCATTTGGCTGAAATGTAAGAATGCAGAAAGCTGGGATCGATAACCAAGACCACTCGAAGTGTCCCACGACGCCCCTTTAGATCTCAGTGTGAGAAAAGAACAGTTTTACCCTCAAACCTGAACTTCTTCCTGTTTTTCTTATGTGTAGTATTGACGGATTTTGAACATTTGCATGTCTCTGTGCCTAATGGTTACATTTGGTTAGGGAAAGTCAGAAAAAGGAATCACTTTTCTACAGAGGAGGTGTAATGAATTGTTTGAATACCTATTGTCACTCAATGTAGACACCCATAAACACCTGTGACAATGTTTTCTCCGTCAGCCTTTTTTAGTTTCCTACATTTCCTTTTTCTTTGGGTCTAAATTAAGACTCTTTTCTTTTGGACTTAATCCAGAAGCTTGGAATCCCTCTTTACTTTGTTTTAGCGAAGTAGCAGGGGTCTTGGTAGTAGATCTCAAAGCTTAAGTGACTCTTCCTCTCAGACACGGAGCAGAAGGTAAGACAGTCCTCATATCTTACAGAAACATACACTCTCACATGCTCAAACTGCAGGGACATGCGAACACGCAGTAAAAGCATTGATCAATAATCATTTTCAGTACAATGGCTCCATATTGAGCATTGATGGAGACAGTCTTTGAAGATATTGGCAGAACATTTCCTCTGACGAGCAGCAGGCATAGCAGAATGCATATTTCTGTTTAAATCGCAAGTCTGGTTTTTATTAACTATTCTAAATTCTCTTATTTGATTGTATATTTATATATAACATGTAGACAAGTGAACCAAATGTCTACCCTGGGCCGTGAATGGCACTTTTGAGTCAGTTGATATGAGAAAAATGAATGGATGGCCTTGAAAAGAATTCCTTTTGCTATCTTTGTTTACACGTTTTGATAAGAGTATTCTTAGTAAAACCCTCTGCTATACAGATCAGTGTGTGAATGTGTCCTTCAGTTTTCTTAACACGGCCTTGTCCTTTTAATTTGATGTCCAGGTTAGTGGTGAAGTGTGTTGTTCAGACCCAGCAGCAGTTGCATTTGGTATGACTGCAGGCTCTAATGAACGCTGCATTAGTGTGACTTAATCAGTCACAGCTGTTAGCAGGACATGTCATCTCAGGCTGTGAACAATCTGAATTTACAGGAGGTGTCAAGTCATCTGTTCCACTTTTTTGTATCATGTGTACTGAGCCCTTGTGAGAAAAGGCAGTTGTATCACGCTCAAAAACCGAGAAGATGTTCTAGTATTATTCATCATGCTCAGGCCAGTATAAGTGTAAAAGCCGACACACGACTGTCCCTCTACAGTTGAGATGTTTGGGAGTTTTCTGTAAGATGTTGTTGATTTTCAGCGCTTTGAAAATGCAGCCATTCTCGCTTCCTAAATAGCGATCACAGGTTCCAGATATTGAAGTGTGTGAAGTTTATCAAGCACTCAGACTCGCTGCTAAATGAAATGCGGCAAATAAATGATGCTCATTAGATAAAACATG